ATTGGTTTTCACCCCCAGGATTGGATCGATGTGGTGATCGCTGTGGCCCCCCCAAAAGACTATGAGGATGAAGTGTAAGCATTCACGTTCTTCTTATTATTTATGCAGCATTTTGTTAGCAGTTTAATGAAATAAAATGGATTTTGTTCAGGTGTTTATAGGTGTGTGTGTGTGTGTGTGCGTGTGTGTGCATGTGTATGCAGCCCTAAGTCAGCATCAGTCAGTCACACCGTGAACAGAAAGGTGTTTGAAGGCAGTGCAACACTTTACAGACATGGCTACCTACTTCAGCACTAGCCCTCCCTCTCCTGTACCTCACCCTCATCCTGGTAATCGACGTAGTCTTCAAACCTCCTCTTCTTCACTGCACGTCCCCGGGGATGTTTGGTGTGGCGCTTGTTTTTATTTGGCCCCATTTTTTTTGTTGTTGTTCTTAAGGGCATGTGACAGTCTCCCTGTCATTTAGAGGAAAGCAAAGAATCTCTCTTCCTGTTATAGCTCGGCTAGTGCCACATAAAGAAAGCGTGACAATAACTCTATGTGGACACAATATGCAGCTTATTTAGAAAATGTCACCTCAAGACAGCCTGTCCAGTGATAAAACCATGCTGTTTGAGTGAAGACATTTACAACTAATGCGATCAGTGACCTGTGCCTCCATATATCTGTCAGATCACAACCCAGGGAGTCATAAATAAACGCATCCATACACGTAAGGCCTCTATGGTACCTCATGAGGTCATGGACACTTGTAAAAGCAGCCTAGGACTCCTGCCAGCCTTCAGCAGTTATTCTGATTCATGTTGTTCAATGGGACTGTTACATGTTCTGAAACCAGCCCATTCCCAGGGTTGGATCTGGAGTGTTTTTGATATAAAGATAAATAAAATGATTTCATGTTTTTGGTGCTCAGCTGCATGTGTTGGCCTGTAGTGCTGAGTGTGAAGTGACTGAAGTTTTTCCAGCGCATACATTTGTTAACAGTTAATAAAGCACAGCGGATTTAATCGTTTGTGTTTGGTGCAGTTGAATAAAGTAGATCTGACAGATCTTTTCTCTTGCAGGACGTTCTTTTGATCTCATCTACAACCTGCCAAGAAAACCAGACTAATTGAGAAGCTTATAATTTTTGATTCTTCCACGATTCACCAATCACAACACGACACATCAACTTGCCCAACATGGTCTTTTTGTCTTTACTTGGTTTTTCTTTCTAAAATTGAGCCATGCTGTCTATATGAGCTGTCACTGTCTTGGCTTGGTAATGGATGGTCCAGTCAATATGCAGTTGTCACCACCAATCTTCATCGCTTCTTCTAATTTAGACACACCTGAGCTTTCCTTTCATCTGTCAGTATAAGAAAGGGGGGAGGGGAAAGACAATTTGTAATCAATAGCTCCTCTAAAGGACATGAAATGAGGTTGTGTTGTGCATGCTGATTTTTCTGCTTCATGTTTTCCTTTTTAAACACTGTTTCTAAGTTAGTGATGCAAAAAAAATACATGTAAAAATAAAAAATAATTATGCGAGTGTGTGTCAATGCCTTTTCATTATACACTGTATATTTTTATGATTTATTTTAAGCTTAATTGATCCATATTCTTCCTTGCTTATCCCTGGTAGAGTAGATGTTCCAGCTATTATGGAGGGGGAGCTATTGAAGTGTAGCATATAGCATATAGAATAGAGACTTGCAGCCAATCAACAGATAACCCAACATGTATGACTTTGGGCTGTGGGGGGGAAGGTATGGATGATGGCTCAGAGGGGGCATGGAGGTACCATAAACCCTGCCAGTTGGTGGATTTTAATCCAGGACCTTATTGATGTGATTTTGTACATAACCGAAGCTGACTGTGAAACTGCTTAAACTATACCAGGTTCCACTTTTGTTGGTTTCAAAAGTGGATCATGAGGTCAACTGCTTGATTATTTACTCGTTTTTGCAAGTTATGCTGAGGGCTGTGACCGAATGTCCACAGGGGGCGACAAAGCTCCTTCGTGAATACTGATCGAATGGAATCGTGTGCTTTAGATAATCCTCCGTGTCATCAAATGGGCCAGCATCAGATTTGTAATCGGTGTGTTAAAGTTAAAGGTGGCAAACACAAAAAATAAAGAGAATGCACCGCGTGGGTTTCATGTAATATTACACCTGTGTTGCTTTGCTGGGCAGCATTCCGCTTCCCTCTTTTCTAAGCTCTGTGCAGTCATCCACTCCCGCCTCATTGTTCATACGTGACATCTGTCTGCTGCCAGTTGGCCGCTGTGCTGCGTGTAGCTGCCGATGTTCTACCTCTACGGTTCATGATACAGTCCAAAGGTTGGCTGGAAAGATCTGCCTCTTTCTTCCTGCAACCCCTCCTCTTCCTCCTCCTCCTTCCCCTCCTGGGTACCCGGGGTCAGCACCGTGGACAGCTCCTTGCCGTCACCCGTAAACCACCGCCTGCGGTCGGGCTGTCAAACGCAAGTAGGACAGCGAGAAGTCGGGCGCACTCTGAACACATGAGACTGTGCTATTTACGAGATTTTGTCTCTTTTCTTTTTTTAACATCCAAGCGACGGATGTGACAGAAGATTGTTTCTGAAGTCAGAGATACGAGGCTGGAACAATGATCTCACGATATAAACCGGTAAGTGCTACTACAGTATATCTGTAACCTGCTCAGTCGCTTGATCGCTATTCAATTTAAAGCATCGAATATTCTGCATGTAGGCCTACGATTAAGGTCGAAAATACACAAAAGACACACGTAATTTGATTTAATTGCACGCAGCATTTTACAGATATGAGCTCTCTCCAGATTAAGGCCTATCCAATGATGATACAAGTCATTTCAGTTCATATTTAGTCAGTGAATCCCCGTGTGCGCTGTAATTGGTTCATCCATCACCGAGGCTTATTTCTGGAGGCGAGTTCTGAGAGTTTAAACTATTGAGTGTGCTGATTTCTCAACAGGGCCATTGCACCGAGTGTGGTAACAAATTGTCACAGGCAGATGGGGAGCATTTCACAAAAACAAGTACCTCCCCTTCCTCTTTCTCTCATAGGTGAGAAAAATGCCTAGAAAGTAGATGTACACGGATGCCACAATGCAATGCATGAGTCACTGGTCACCCCTTACCCTTACTTTACACCCACAGACATAATCATCACACTACTTCAGCCAACACATAGTCAAACCTTGTTTTCAGTTAAGCCACTGTCGTTTGGTTGGCATCAATCTGTATTTGGGGTTTTATGACGTAACAGTGGCTCAGTGTCTATTTTGAGGCCGGTCTGATATTTTAGGATTTTTTTAGAATCTATTGTTCTCCCTTTGTGTTGTGAGTTTGCTAAGATGATGTTGACTTTTCCTCTCTTGGCGTCTCTCTGAGAGGCTGCTGCTCTGTCTAGTCATTTTCTCTGTCCTCACCCACTCCAATGCTTCAACCCTCCCCAGGCTATACAGTGATGACCATCTCTGATGTAGGGCATCACAGAACGAAAGTATAATAATAGCCTAGGGGCAGTGTAATATAAAGAAGGAATCTTTAATTGAAGCCTGATGCTGGTAGTAGAAACAAAACAACACAAAACAAGTAACCCCCAACAGACTTAACAATATGTATTCTGTTCTGTTTAACTGGACTTGGTCCTATAACCCTATTTTTTCTTTATTTTTAAACAAAATGATAGAGCTAATATCTACTAAGATATTTGACGTGTGCAGGAAGTGATTAGGTAGGGCTGCAGCTGACCCAAACATCATATATTGGGTGATGAAATCAAAAACCAACTGGAATATCATTTTACAGCTATGCCTGGTGTCCCTTTCCTACTTCCCATATATCTCAGTGCTTAAAGTGTAACTAGAAGCACTACAGCATATGGGGCCAACCTGAACCTTACTGTTTCTTGCATTTTGGACACATTTATGGCTTTACAATCATAATCCACTTATTTATTTTCTACATATTAAGTGTATATAAGTATCAGTCAAATTAGAATAATTCTGTTCTGCTGGGATTGAATAAATGCAAGCTTGCAAAAGCATTGCATCCTGTTTTATGGTATCACTGCTTGCAGAAAGCTGTGCACTGTAATAAACATTTGCAAAAGTAAATACTACCTTGCTTTTAAATAGATAGCTGGAATTTAATGTCTATATCTCGAGATGCCTTAAGTACAGGACAACATGTTCGGCGAAGCTTGCAAGTCAGTTCAAAGAGGAAACTCGAGCTGTACTGTGTCACGCACATTTACATGCCCCGCTCTCCTCACGTCACATACCAAACACACCCTCCAATTTGGCGGCCTCTTTAAAGCTTTCCCATCTCTCGCTCTGATATGTCTTTTTTAACCTCTCCTCATTTCAAACATGAGTTCTCAGCCTGAACCTACAGTAAGTTGTATCTTTTCTCATATTAAATATACATTACTGTTTTTATACCACAGTCTGAGTCCGTGTACGTGAATCGGCTGACAAGTGTCTGTGTAAACAACAAAACACTTGTGTAAACTGCTCATTACGGTTAAGCTTATCTCTTTGCTGCAACGATGTAAAAGGTCATCAGCCATGGATTACATTGAATGTAAATCATTTTAAATGCTAAGAAAAGGCCATCGGTCTATCCTGGTCGACAGATGGATTATTGAAATCTGCTCCCATGTGGGTCTTTGCTGATCCTGCTCTACAAGCAGGCTGCTACTGGCTGCAGTGGGATTTCTCTCTGCAGGACCATACACATAATGCATCCACGCCAGGAATTCATAAATATTTGATGCTATCGTTCCTCATGTGTTGAGCCTGGTTATTCCGTTATTGTGTTTGTTTTTTAATTTTTTATCATTTTGATAAAAATTGTGTTTTAGAATTATGTAAGCCCTGAGAACATGTTTGTGAGATTTAGATTTTATGCGCTTGCTCATGCTTCACACGTACTTCTGTATGACGTTTGCACTGTTCATCCACTAGCTGTATCCCAGTGTCTCGCTCTTCATCAGTCACTGTTCCCTTCCACCCTCCCCCTCCTACCTTTAGTTTCTCTCCAGCTCGTCTGCACACTCTGCCCCTTCTGCGCTCCTCTCCCAAGGTCGACTTTGAGCTCTCGATTGCAAAGAGACAGGAATAGCAGGTGGACTGCAGAATGCTGTCGCTGCTCGATCAGTGTGTGTGTGTGTGCGTTTATGAGGAATGCGAACATGTCTGAATGTATTCCAGTGGAGATGTGCAGCTCTGTGCACAAGTGAAGCTTCAGCCTTAGAGGATGTCTGCAGACTGCGGATGGACGAGCTGCAGATGCTTTTCACCGGCATGGCCAGAAAAGCTGCTTAAACTATCACAGAGGAGAGGGAGCTGCCGCCGCCGCTGCTACTGCCACTGCTGCGCTGGACTGTGACTGTCCCTGACCTCTTCCTCCCTCCTCCTCTGTCTCCTCTCTTTCACTCGAGCTGATATTTGGGAGCTGGATTAGAGAGGGAACAGGAAGGAAGACACCTTGGGAATTACCGGGATCCACTGCAGACGTCAGTGTTTCCTTTTGAAAAGACGACATGCTCTGAGAACCTCTTCTTCTAAATCTCTCCGTCTGTGTCTCCTGTCCTCCCCTCATCCTCTTCTCCTCCTCCTCCTCCTCCTTTTCCTCCTGTTCCCGGCAGAGTCCCGGTTCCACCATGTCCTTGGCATTCTGTGGAAACGAGAATAACTCGATGGCCTACAACGTGGATGGAGGGGTTCTGAACAACGGCTGTTTCCTGGATGCGCTCAATGTGGTCCCACATGTTTTTGTCCTCTTCATCACCTTCCCCATCCTCTTCATCGGTGAGTGTCAATGTGAAGTGAGATCCTCCTTTTCACTGCACAGTTTTACCTGCCTTGACTTCCACACGTGCTCAGATAACGTGTCAGCACAAGTCAGCATGATGGGCTTCGATATGTTTTCTGTCTTTCTCACATTCCTCTTAATCAGCTTGTTTTATTCTGCATGCGGTTGATGAACTATTGCATGATGTATTCAGTGAGTGCTCCACTTGCTTTATAGAGTCTGTTCATTTCAGTATACTCAACCTTTATGCCACTGAGGAGTGGTTTTGAGTGCGCATTTCATTCTCCAATTTATAACACCCACAAATATCTGCAGGTGTATGGGTTAGCCAGTTATGGAAGGCTGAGCCTCTTCAGTGACACAACACGAGGACATAATTACTGAACTGCAAGCATTTTTCTGAGCAAATTAACGTCTTTCGATAAAATGCAGGCAAACAGATGATGGCATTAGGTTGCACCTTGTTTGCCCTCCTATCTGGCCGCTGGTCATTTCTGTTAGAGTCATCAGCAGCATGTAATGGATCAGCACTACATGCAAATTTTGCTGCTACAGTCACACATGCTCCAGCGCTGTCATCTGACCTTTCACATGGGTGTGTGTGTAATGTGTGTGCCCATTTAGTGCCCTCCTTTTCATTTTTCAAAAGCAAGACACCACTCTATAAGTGCTCACTATTCATTGTGGAACAAAGTGGAAGAAGATGCAAAATGTAACTTTTACACTATTTTCCCCATTATTATCTGGACAATAATAGTGTAATTAAACAGTTTGTGCTTCTACTTTAGAAATATTCCAGTCATCTCTCACATTTAAAATACTGTTTCTCCATATATCAATATTGTTGCTTTTCCTAATTAAAGAATCCCGATACTTTCTCTATCTGCAGATATCTCTATAAATGTTTCTGTTTGTCTTTCCTTTAACTTGAAGACAAAAACACTCACTGATAAGGCACTAAGGGGCTCTATAAGTCCACTGTTAGATGACAACAGGCTGCAAGCTGCAGGGGGTTTTCTCTCTCTCCTGTCACACTGAGCTGATGTGCTCTCGCTAACAACTTTGCCACCAAACACAAACCTCAGGGGTGTGAAATGTTTTCTGTTTATCTTGATTCACTTGATAAAACCTCTTAAGCCAGCATCCTGTGATGTGCATTGCCCTTGAGAGAGTCAGCTCATTATTTTCACCATGTCACATCAAGGCTAAGAGAGGATATTGGGGATACATGCACCACAACACCATCGCTGACTTGAATGAATCCTTATTACCTGCTGTTGGCTGTAGGAAATCCATGTAATTATAATTAATGCACAGTTTGATGCAATGCATACTTTTATTATATATCTGCAATGCTATCACTTAATATGTGGCTTATTTACCCTGGTGCCAAATTATTTGAGTAAATATTATGGTGCTGACTTTATTGATGCTTTTCAGTCCTTGAGCTGAGAGTGTTTGTCAAAAAGAGTTAGAGGAAGTGATGGAGTACATGCCAGCCTGTGCCAGCACATCTCACTGAGAAAAACTGTTAAGGTGCCAAGAAGTGAGGAGTGATTCACAGAATTTCATCAGTAGAGATGAGTTTTATGACAGCAGCGAATCAAATCTAAAATATAAATTGCACTTTGATTATCAGTTGCTGTTTTACAAGCCAAGCTCTATTGTATTACAGGGCAAACTGAGACCAACCTCTGTCTGTCATGGATCGCTGTGTGGCAGGCAGGATGAGGACCCAATTGCAAAACTCACAGACTCAGGGGATGAACTCAAAAAGCAGCTTTATTGCTGACAAAAGATGACAGGAAATACAAAACTAAACTGGGAAAAACTAACATAAAGCTCACCAAGGAACACAGGGGAATCACACACAGCATGAGGGAGAACGCGACACAGAACTGAGGGAGACGCAGACATAAATACACAGAGGGTTAACGAGGGAAGTGGGAGCACATGGGGAACACAGGTGACACTGATAATCATAACAAGACATGGAAGGAGTGAACACAACACTGACGGGAGACGGGCAAAGTAAAACAGGAAGTACAGAGGTTCAGACAGGAGGAGAGAGAGCACGGGGAGAACACAGACATAGGCTGGGGAAAACATGGAATAAAACACAAGGAGAGACGTGGGCTCACAGATACACAGGGGCACACAGGAGGTAACCAAAATAAGGAACATTTTAACTAAATAATCCTAGGAACCAAGGCATAACCAGGGAATAAAATACAAAACACACAAAAACTGAGAATACTGGGCCCACATGACCCAGGACCATGACACTGTCTAAGAGGAAATTAATGGAGACGGAGGTTTGAGCAAAAAATAATTGACTTAAGGATCTCAGGCAAGCAGCCATCTAACCACATCTATTGGCTCCTTGCCTGCAGAGAGTCAAACAATCAAAGTGATAATAACACAACTTTTCTGCTGTACTCTAGCAGCGTGGCATTTTCTCCCAGCAGAGCCATCTTTCTAATTTCCCTTCTGTAAGTTATTCACCATGCTTGAGCATGCCAGCTCTTTATCATGGAGCTCATGATGTACAACGCATTCATTTAAGACTGCTCACAAGTTTATTTTCCTAGTTGAGACTCCCATAGAAAAATGGTTTTTGTCATCTCGCTCTGTGCTAATGTTCTTTCCCCCTGTGCATAAAAAAGATAAGTCTTGGTTATATACGAGATCAAGGCCTTCAGGCACCACTGCATTAAAAAAAGTCAGGGTTTTGTCATGGAAATCACTGCATGGGCTCGAGAACACTTGCACAAATCACCGTCTGTGAACACAGTGCACCGTACCATCCACAAACGCAAGTTAAAGATCTACAGAAGAAGAATCTATGTGTGTACATGATCCAGAAATGCTTCTTTCTTCTCTTCATTTCATTTAAAATGAACTGAAGCAAAATAGAAAACTGCTCTGTGGTCAGGAAATCAAAATTAGATTTTTTCTTTTCAAAAACATGGATGCCATAACCTGATGGTATGTATTAGAGCGTATGGAGTTGGTAGCTTGGACATCTGCAAAGGCACCATCAATGCTGAAAAGTATATACAGAGTTTAGAGTGACATATTTTCTTAGTTTAAAGAGTTGATAGAGTCTCTGTCTTCTACTGTGAGTAAAATGGTTCTTTTTTGGCCTTTTTGTATTTAAAGTGAAATGACCCTGTTGCTTTTCAATCACTTTCATTTCCTGGTTCATGTTTGAGGTTGGGGCAGCCAGAGTTCAAAGGTCCACATCCACCACAGCACCTGGCTTCACTTTCCTGGACACAACCTGCGATGGCTCCTCACCTTCATCCTGCTCTTCATCCTCGTCTGTGAGATTGCAGAGGGCATTGTCTCAGATGGGTATGTTTGGCATTTTAATAATACAACACTGCAGCCTCATGATGATCTCAGTCATTATGAGGTGATGTTTGTTATGTCATGACACTAGTGGGAATGTTCATTTTTATATGCTTTTGTTTAGTTTAAATGTATAGTATAGTAAAATGTGTTTTGTGTATTATCAGTATGATTTTTGTGTGACACAATTCAATTTTTTCCGCCATTATGCAATTATGCAATCCAGGAAGGATTGCAGTTGTTGATTGTTCAAATTGTTGATTGCTTGCTTTCTACTTAAACAGTAGTGAAACTACGGAGCCCCGCAGGGGACATGGGAGAAAAAAAAATCAGGGAGAAAAAAAAAATTAAGACGGACTTTTGCGAGATCTCGCAAAACAAACTCGGGATCTCGCAAAACTAAGCTACTTAGTTGTAATATTACTCTTTCTGGGTCACAAAATACACTTTTAAGATATTTTGAGGCGTGAATGTAGTTGTGTAAACGTCAGATACCTGCTCGGCTTACAAGACGTCACATATTTGCAAAAGTGCTCCGACGTTTTTGGAGATCTGACACCCACTAGCTCGAAGCTAACGGGAGGTCGAGACCTACTACAGCCGGGAGGAACACCGCTTTCCCGGCACATCGTGCCTCGACCTCCCGGTCGGCTTCGAGCTGGCGGCCTCTGAATAATGCGGCTAAAACTTTTGCGAGATCTCGCAAAAGTCCGTCTTAAATTTTTTTTTTCTCCCTAATTTTTTTTTCTCCCTAATTTTTTTCCTCCCATGTCCCCTGCGGGGCTCCGTATTAAACAGAGTAGATTTTATTGCTAAACAACTTTTAGTTAAGAATATGAAGACAAAGAACAAAATGCAGCGTGAAATAAAAGCTTAAAGCTAGTCAAAGCTAACAGCGAGGAAGTGGAGGTTGTGATCAGTTATCAGTTTGCAAGCTAAAAAAAAGTTCATGATATGATTTACTTTTTTGGATTTATTTATTTACTGTACACAGAAATAAGGACACTATCACAACAGGAATAAGAGGAGTTGACATAACGCAAAAGCTGGCAAGGCAAAGAGAAGATGCAGTGGAGCAAGAAAAAAGAATAACAAAGCACAGGCTCTTTTCAAAGCAGCCATTTTAATATGAAAAATACATGTTACATGTAACGTTAGAAAAGACACAGAGCCCTCATTAATGTGCTGCCGTGACAAGGTTTTTTTGTTTTTTTTTACTAAAATCCATGTCCGTGACTACAAACAGGAAACTGTAGGAATTAATAGCATACTGAAGTGGGTTTGTAAAAAAAAAATGGAAAAAGTCTAATGCAGACAAAAGGATGCTACTCAGCACAATGGAGCCTGCTAGCATTCACCACCAGCCAACACAATACAGACAAAGCCACTGAGAGGCAAATGTTAATATTTGCCAACTGAAAGCACGTCAGTGAGCTTTACCCTGGACTCCAATAAGCATGTCTTTAGACTATGAGAGGAAGCCAGAGTACCCACAGACAACCCATGCAGGCACATGCAAAACATATAAACTTCTCACACTAAGGCTTCAGCTGGCAAATGGATTCAAACCCATGACCTGCTGTGAGATGACAGTACTGCCTCCATTTCCTGGATAATCTCATGAAATGACTCACAGGGCTATATCAGAATCCAAACTGCTCATGTTTAGGTCTCGTTATCTAATTCGTCTCTATGTGTATCCTGTTGTTGTCTAATTTAGTTTACCAGGCTCTAGATTAGTTGTGGAGATTGGGGTGGTTAGCCCTATGAGGTAAAGAGAAATTTGGCTAATTTACTTGCTTAATGAGACATCTTAATGAGACATCTGTCAAAATGCATAATGATAATAATTATTATTTTATTGTTATCAGCCTAACCTGTTTCTTTCTCTATCTGATGTTTATTTGCAGGTTCAGTCAGTCCCTCCATCTTCACCTGTACATGCCTGCAGCTCTGGCCTTCATGGCTGGCATCACCTCTATTGTCTACTATCATAACATTGAGACCTCCAACTTTCCTAAACTACTGTTAGGTATCGTCTGTTTATTCTTTTTTACATTTTCCTGAGAGAGACAACTTTACCTTTACTTTCAGCCTCACCCTGGAATATACTGCTTAGCATATTCATTCGTAGCACTGAGATGAAGTGAATGCAATACGATTTGTGATCATGGCTTGTGAAGCTAGCATTAGCTTTGTACTTACTTGAATGTCTGATAAAGAATGGCAACTGATTATTGATTTACTACACTCTACGGGATTACATTACATTACATAACAGAGCAGCAGGGTCAGTGTTGTCATTTGCAGATGACTGGTTCATTACTTTCAGATAATGATGCAGGGCAGTGTCATCGAGGGGGATTGTTCTCTGTGCAGATATTAATTATGCATTTAAATTAATATAAAGTGAAAGCGCTGCACAGTTTGCACAGCAGACAAGCATCTCCATGGCAAATATATTTAGTTTTTTTGTTATGAAATGATCAGTGTTTTCAGTTCTGCTAGTTCGTGATAGTTATTGATAAATAGAGCAGTGTCATGCTTCACCTTTGTCCATTAGTTTTCCACATGTGATGTTTGCTTGTGGAACAATCACACTGCAGTTTTCTCTTCCTTCTCAGGCATCATTAACTCATCTGTGTGCAGCTCCTGGTGCTTTATTCAATGCTCCCATTGAGTCACTCAGCTTCCCTGGCTGTAAGGTTTCCATTTCATAGCCAGACAGAAATTCATCTTCTAAAGAGAGCCTTGGGTGTTGACTTTTATGCTAGAGATATTCTTCATTATAAAGAAGATAAAAAAATCTCTCAGTGGTTTTGCTATTGGCCAGCAGTGTAACCTTTGTGTAGAAACAAGAATCCGTTATCCTCTCATATCGTCTGGACTGACGTGATGTAGCTCCATCAAAAATCACAATGGAACAAAGACAACAGATTTAGCTTCTGTTTCCTGAATTAGATGTCTGCTAGAAACACAGTGCAATGGAAACGGAGGAAAGAAACAAGAAGAAAAAACTCATATCTTAACTGTTCTCTTACGCAGCTGAAACATGAGATTGAATGGTGTCTCCACATTTTAAATAAATTATAACACGAGTTGAACCATGGACACAGTTATATGAAATGTATCCCAGCCTGTAACAAAATACACCTATTGCACAAATTGAGTTTCAGAGAGAACGATGTCATTTTGATGACACTTTTTCATTTAGACTGAAATATAAGTTTGCAGTCGAGTTATTTATCGTTTCTGGCTTATCTGGTAATTCACTGTGTGACTCTGATCCCTGCTAAATCCCTTTAGCCCTGCTGATCTACTGGGTGCTGGCCTTCATCATGAAGACCATCAAGTTTGCCAAGTACACCGAGCATGGCATCGGCCCCAGGCAGCTACGCTACTGCATCACAGGACTGCTAGTGCTGCTGTATGGACTCCTACTAACTGTAGAGATCAACGTGATCCTCGGCAGGGTAAGTGTGTACATTTGTGTCTTTGTCCACTGTTGTGTGTGCAGGTATATAAACACATAAGCTACTGAGAGTGACGTAAGATCATTCAGATGCAGTGGTACTACTTTTTGTTAAGCTCTTAAAATGGTAATAATTACACTGGAGCATGTGACGGTGGTTATGAACCTTCACTGGCTTTCATTCGAATGCAAGTAAACATGCCATTTATTTTAAACTGCATATTTATGAAAAACAAAAAATAATCTCCAGATTTTAAAGCCAGGCTGGCCAGTAACAGTGACAATACAGCAGCTGCATTTAAAGACAATGATGTGACATTTCCTTTCAGCCTTGCTTGCGATTTTGCTGAGGCCATTTACAGTATCCCCTGCAGCTGGGGAGCATTTTATTCCCCATGGTTCAGTTTTATGAATCAGATGATTAAAATGATGACAGCTCCAGCCGCATACGATGTTTTTGAGAATTTTTAATCAATTGTGGAAACTCTGTGAGCCTGAGAAGAGAGCTTTATTTTTAGTACATCATTATAATGTAAAATCCATGAAGGTTGTGGTCATTTCTGGACTTTTCATGATTTATTTGAACTGACTGCAATACTGTACATCGTTAATCATTAAAAAATGAGAACAATGTTCAAATGTTTGAATTTAGTTTTGATTTCTGTAATCTATACCAGGTCAAAATTATTCATAGTCTCACATATATACATACACCTTCAATAATATTTGGTTAAATGTCCCTTAGGAAGTTGCACCTCACCCATATACTTTTGTTAGCCATCAGCAAGCTTCAGGCATAATTCAGGCTGCATATTTAGCCACTTGTTTAACCAGTTGGTCATGTTCATTTAAACTGGTTGCAGATGTGGCTTTTAAGCAAAGTCCACAAATTTTAATAGGATTAATGTTGAGGTTTTGGGAAGGCCTTTCCAGAATCTTAACGTTAGCCTGCTTTATCCGTTCCAAAGCTAGCTATGATGTGTGTTTGGAGTCATTGTCCTGTTGGAACACCACCTACGTCCGAGTTTTAACCATCTATCTGTTGATGTGGGTTGGGGTTAGTCGTTGTTCTTCATTATTCCATTCACATTATGTAATGTACCAACACCGCTGGCATGATGCTACCACTGTCATACTTGGCAGCTGGTACAGTTTTAAATGGTTTGAAAGCCTCACGATTAGGCCTCAAAACATACCTCTTGTCACTGTGGCCAATCTTTGTCTCATCTGATGATAAAGTTTTTCTCCAGAAGGCATTTGGCTCATCCATGAGGGCTGCTTCAACTTTCAGTTTTAGCTTGAATGTGTTGATTTTGGAGCAGGGGGTACTTTCTTGGTTAGCACCCTTGAAGACCATGGTTATGTGAAAATCACCTCACTCTGAATGCAGAAGCTGGTGTTTCAGTACCTTCCAGTTCATGGCAGGCTTAATGGTTTCTGGGTTATTCCTGAATATCCATCCATCCATCCATCCATTTTCTTCCGCTTATCCGGGGCCGGGTCGCAGGGGCAGGAGCCCAAGCAGAGAAGTCCAGACCTCCCTCTCCCCAGCCACCTCCTCTAGTTTATCCGGGGAAACACCAAGGCGTTCCCAGGCCAGCCGAGAGATATAATCTCTCCAGCGTGTCCTTGGTCTGCCCTGGGGCCTCCTCCCAGTGGGACATGCCTGGAAAACCTCACCCAGGAGGCGCCCAGGGGGCATCCTTGTCAGATGCCCGAACCACCTCACCTGGCCCCTTATCTCTAAGGGAGAGGCCAGCCACCCTTCAGAGGAAGCCCATTTCTGCCGCTTGTATTCGTGATCTCATTCTTTTGGTCACTATCCATAGCTCGTGACCATAGGTGAGGGTAGGGACGTAGATCGACAGGTAAATTGAGAGCTTCGCTTTTACGTTCAGCTCTCTCTTCACCACAACAGACCGGTACAGCGTCCGCATCACTGCAGCCGCTGCACCAATCCGTCTGTCGATCTGGCAAATTTCTTACATACAGTGATTTGAACTGATGATCTCAGAATCCTCAAATTAATTGACCCTTTGTGGTTTGCAGAAAAATAAATTCAAACTTATTGACCCAGTTCTTGTTTTTTAAGGTCATTAAAGACGTGTGCTGTACAACCAGTTCTGTTTGCTCCATCCTAATGTTAGCCTTTTCACCATTTTAGTGCAAACTTCTGATGATTCACATTGAACCCAAAGTAACACTGATAACTGTGCAGTTACACCAGCTTATCACCGATACAGAAGCATCCTGTTGGAACAGTAATCCAAACTTTTTAAGTCAAATGCAAAAGTAAAAAAAAAAAAAGGCATAAATATTTTTTTTTCTGAATGCAAAATTGATCCTTTCACTTTCATTTAAAGTATATCTAAAAGACACAAGATCCCCCTCACACGTGTGGTTCAGTGTGAGGCTTCATGCTGGTCTCTGATCACGTTTCTAGATGTATCTTATTAATATTCTATCGATGATTGTTCAGCTTTTGACATTTTCAGCCTTCTGACCCTTTCTGAGCATGGAGAAAATGTCAGAGCAGAGTGCTCTTTTCTTGTCTTTTTCCTCTGGACAATTCACAATGTGTTTGTCTCTGTTAACCTCTGCACTAAGCAAACACCTGTTACTAAATCACAGAGCCGTGGGCAAACAGCAGAGAAACAGATTCTCCCATCATCCGCTGCAATAATTTGGCCCGCTAGACCTCAGTTTCTTGAAGTGTCTCCATCTGCACTGTTAAAAGTGTGCAAACAGTTTATATTAATAATTGATGTGAACTTTCATGTTGAAGTAATAGAAAAGAAATCATTACATGCTTTCATTAAAAAGCTAATTTAGATTTTACTGGCTGACAAAATGAATAAACGATTGTTAAATCAAATCTTTTGAATTAATTCACGCTCAGGATCTTGCTGAACATATTTTGCTGGGAATTCCATTTTATTCCATTTTTTTGTTGTGTTTAAAATAGAGCCTGATTTCAACTCTTAAACTTTACATTAGTCATAAATTTCCATATCAGACAGCCTGTACTACTACTACTACAGGGAGTGCAGAATTATTAGGCAAGTTGTATTTTTGAGGAATAATTTTATTATTGAACAACAACCATGTTCTCAATGAACCCAAAAAACTCATT